ACGGTATATTCGGTTTGTAGTCATCTTTGCACTGTTCATTTCTAATTAGTTAAAAATACTCATTTTTATATTCTTTTGAATTCAAAAAGGGTGTTTCGCATTTCCAAGTACATAGCTGTCTGTGACTAGCCTTTTGTTGTTAATTTTCAATTGTTGGTTTTTAGTTCCCTTTTGGTTTGGCTAGCTGATTTGGCTTGTGTTGGTTTTTCTTTTGGAATATGTTGAGATTTTCTTCATTGCCTAATACATAGTCAGTGTGAATATGCAAATGTATATGTGGAAAGAATGTATATTCGCATTAGGAACAAACATACATAATGTAGCTTATTAATGGGTCTTTTAAATCCTTTATATCTTTGCTTATTTTTTGCATGCTTGATATATTGATTTCTGAGAAAGGTTTTGCTATGGTCTGAATATGCCCCCCCTCCCCAAATTCATATGTTGAAACCTAATCCCCAAGGTGATAGTATTAGGAGGTCATGTCTTTGAGGGATGACTAGGGGTCAGATCAGGGAGCTCTACTGTCATGAGGGCATTAGTGCCTTTATAAAAGATGCCTGAGAAAGCTTCCTCGCCCCACTTCTATAATGTGAGGGTACAGTGAGAAGCTTGCCCCAGGAAGAGGGCCCTCACCCAAACATGATGTCACCCTGATCTTAGACTTCCAGCTTCCAAAACTGTAGGAAATAAATTTCTGTTGGCTACCCAGTCTGTGGTATTCTGTTACAGCAGCTTTAACAGACTAACATTTGTTAAAGCCTTCATCAGTGAATATTAATTTGTCAAATTTTCTGATATTTTTGCCAGAGCTGTGTTGGTGGATATATACAACTCATGATTTTTATATTCTTAGCGGGTTATTCCATTTATTACTATGAAATACTCCTTTTTGTTTTGTTTATTGGTTTCTTTACCTTAACTTCTATTCTGAGACTAATACTGATATGCCTGTTTCTTTAGTATTTTCTTTTGGTATATCTTCCTTATCAGTTCTTTCTGCTCAGATGAACCCTCCTTAGAGAGACCTGCCTGACAACCTTAAAGCAACCCTCTGTCTATCACTTTAGTCCACTGGCTTCTCATCCCGCATTGCTTCTTAACTTTACATGACTCAAGTGTTTCCTTTTTTTTTAAATGTTTCCTTCCAGTTTCCAGAGTTAACATATTATAACAGTATTCCTTTTGTCTAGTTTTTTTAAAATTTATCTTTATTGTTGAAGGTATTACAAATGTCCCCCTTTTTCCCCCCATTGATCCTTTCCACCTGGCATCCATCCCCGCCCCCCACCCCAGGCCTTCTCCACACTACTGTCTGTATCCATAGATCATGCACTTAAGTTCTTTGATTCATCTCCCCCCTCCCCACTTCTCACCCCTGCCTTCCCTCTAAAATTTTTCCGACTGCTCTATGGTTCTGTATCTCATCTGCTTTTGGCCTCCCACTTGACTGTGTTAGCTTAGAGAGAGCAGAGGCAATACCCAGTCCTCCCCTTTGCCCTGACCACACTCCCATCTCTTTGTCTTAGACATCTTGAAGAGTCCTGATATCTATTAGGCACTTTATGAATATTGAGTGAGTGAATCTTAAAATTCCTCTCCAAGTTAAATATTCTCTTTTCTGTCTACTGTTCTTAGATATATGACTTCGTATCTTCATTTTGCCATCTTGGTCACTCTTCAGTTTACCAGTGCCCCTCATAGAATGCTCAGGACCCTTTTAAGATGTTTACTACCAGTACAGTAAAACTAATTGTCTCCCGTGTTCTTAATACCACACTTCTATCAATACTTTCTAATATTATGTTGCTTATCTAGTACTGTCCTTCTCTTGACTTCCAGTAAACTTGTTGGAATCCAAATCTCTTTGTCTTCTATAACTTATACTTGAGTGTTTTTAAAAAATGATACACTAGAAAACTCTACATTTAATTATGCAATATTTCACCTTAAGATTGAGGAGGGGAACACAATAGTTTTTCGCATATGCAGAATTTGTAGTGCATTTAAGGAACAGGGATTTCTCCAATTAGATCTAGAGATTAGAACTAGTATCAGTAGGTAGAAATTACTGCAAGATTTTGCAGGCATACATTCATAGCAAATGTTGGATCACCCTTACTCCCTGCCCTTTCCCCACCCTTCCTACTAAGGGTACCTTGGTTTTGTTTAAGCAGTCTATCCCCTCTGCACAGCTTTGTTTTTAAGAGAGGAAGCCCCAGTCCCAGGGGAGCAAATATGATCAGTCTCAGCTAGGAGATAGGACATAATTGTGTTTTAGTTTAAAAGAGCTTTTCTGTTGTTTATATGCATTGATTTATGAAGAGAAGAAAGTGTCTTAGATGTCAGAAGTTTTGTTTTACTGTAGTCGTTTAAATACTTTTAATCTTTTTAGATTAGTTCTTTTCCTTTTAAAAAATGAACCAATTATTCCGGTCTTACGCATAGAGGATATTGTAGGGACACAATGAAATGATAATACTTTGGAAAATAATTGTAGTGGTAGGCATTTATTAGAATTGTTTTGTGCTATTTGAGTTCATAAGTTGCAAGTACATTCTTTATTATATTGAGATCAAACTTAGTAGTTCATTATTAAATTACTGTCTCTCTACCCTTTGAATTTCAAGATGGTAGTGAGAAGCTAAGAAATTTAAAATACTAAATGAAATACAAATGAATCTTTTATTCATTGTGGATGTTCTCAGAAATATCAGATTCAGATCATTCTCATTGTTTAATTGAGTTATCTTATTTTATATTAGAAATGAAGGCAAAAAGTTTGAATTCAGGTTTCTTCCTAACATACCTTCTATACTAAAGGTGATATGGAAAGACAGGACTGTCCACATATTATTGTGAAGCTTCTTTTTGAACTTAGGTTTGTTTGTTTGTTTTCTCTCATAAAGTGTACTTGGCTTAAGCTACCAGTAAAATAAGTGCACAGTTAAAAATAAGTTAAAAATCATGAGTCTTCTATTCCACATTACCACAACATTTCAGAAGTTGTAAGATGAACTCAAAAGTAGACAAATCTGTCTTCTGGAGTAGTTTTGTGAGGTTCTTTTTTTCTTCTCATATTAGACTTCTGTTTTCTTTAACTCTCCCAAGACCCATTCTGGTATTAAAACTTTTTCCTGTCCAACCCCAGATTCCTCCATTTCCTTACAGGATTTTTTAAACCATGGCTAATCCTGAGCAATTAGACAATAGGTGAAAATTTGTCTTTGCCTTTTTCTATCCCTCTTTATATTACATATATCAGATATAATTTGTTGGATTCTTGCCTTTTTGCTTTCAGGCAACCATATTGATCTTTCTTGGGTAGTGACAGACTCCAGATCTTTTCATTATACTCCTTCACCAAAAAGTATCAATTCTATGTTTCCTACCCAGCAAGCTCCTGTCTGTTCTGTGGTGATTCGTATCATATTCAACCCTGGAATTGTGTTAATAGATACTTGTGTGGCTCAGCGGTTGAGCATCAACCTATGATCCAGGAGATCAAGGTTCAGTTCTGGGTCAGGGCACATGCCCAGGTTGTGGTCTCGACCCCCAGTAGGGGACATGTAGGAGGCAGCCAATCAATGACTCTCTAATCATTGATGTTTCTCTCTCCCTCTCCCATCCTCTCTCTGAAATCGGTAAAGACATTTAAAAAACCTTAAAAGAAAAAACAAAACCAAAAAACAACACAAAACTTGAGAATGCCTGAGGACAGATTTCGGCTTTGCCATGCCCTCGTAATTGTACCATGGGTACCAGTGGCCTCTGTGAGTGCCTGCTGCATTTAGAGGCGGGGGCTTCACTTTTGCCTTTCCCCTGCTTTTGCTGCCTAGTGCTTGTCGTGCCTCTGGTCTTCAGCTCAGTATGCAGGGCCATCTTCATGGGAGGGAACCTGCGCAGTTTCACAGGTCCCCACATTTTGGTTTAATGTTTCCCCATTGCCATATTGATATTCTTAATTTTTTTTACAAGGGTCCTGAATTTTTGTTATGCACTAGGCCCTGGAAATTATGTAGCTGTCCTATTAATAAGCTTTATTCATTGCCTGCTTTCTCTCCATTTGCTTCTAGCTTTCCCTAGGGGCTTTTTGTGCTGCCTTATAGCTCGCTATCTTCTGCTCACCCCACTTACTTTACCCACCCCACTACCCCCTCATACATGACTACCTCCTATCAGTGGAATCTAGAGAGAGAGTATGTACGTCTTCAAATATTCCTCAGGTGTGTCCATTCAGAGTTGTGGTCTCCACTGATTGGTCAGTGCTATCGGGTCATTAGTTATCACAGCTGGTCCTGGTGTCAGCCATGGCATCACTTGTCTGGTTTTGCTGCTTTTCTGGGCCTGGAGCTGAAACAACTGAGGCCTAGATGCTATCTCTAGGGGTTAATGCTTAAAGGAGTGATTGGGAGTCTAGTGAGGTCACTCTTTGGCCCCTTGTTCCTCCTCCAAGGGGTCCTACCGCATGATTAGCAACATGCCGGGGGAGGAAAGGTTACTCTTGGGGAGAGGTCCTTGTTTTCCCAGTTTTGTCTGTTGCTCGGCACCCAGGGCTTTCCACCCTGGTCACTCTGTACCTGGCCCATCGTCCTTGCTCTGCTCATATCTGTCTAGCTGCCTAGCACATTTTCTTTCTTGCCTTGTTTTATATGCACAAAGAAGAGCCAAGTTGCTGTCTAACATCATTAGCTTCATTACTAATATTGTTATATTTAACTCTGTAAAAAAATGAACGTTTCATAGTCTCAGGAGATGAATAAAATACTACTCTAGCTTTGTAGAACCACCTTGGAATTAAATTGTTATTATACCCAGCAGCTGATGGGATGAGAAGAGCACCCTTCCTTTCTAAATAGGATTGTGCTGCTCTGGATAGAAATGTGTACATTTTCATCTTTCTGTGATAAAAATTAGCTCTTAATGTTTTATATTGTAGTATCATGTTAGAAATTTCATTCCATGATCATTCGTTCACTCACATGTATTTTTATTTTTAGCTCTAAGCGAAAGACATGAGGCCTAAGACTGACAATGAGGTTGTTTTGAGGCCGATTTCTGACTAGAAGGTGTGTGCGATCGCCTCGTCCTGAAACCACTTCAAACAGAATGGTAATGGCAAAACCTAAGAGCAAGAGAGGCCTTCATGTTTTTCCATGCCTGTTCTCCTACCCAATTCCTTCCTTTAAAAAAAAAAAAAAATTGTTTTAAGTTGTGAACAAAAGGTATTAAACAACATGCTGCCATGTCCTAACTGAACTGGTTCAGATGTTTAACAAAAGGATTAATTGTATACATCTACATATTAGTTAAACCCTTTGGAGTTGTTAAAACACACTTTTTAAAAAGTGAGTTCTACTGAGCTGTTTAGCAACAAAATACTTATTACATGAAAACACCTGAGCCATAATAAATTTGCAGCTTGAAATCATTTTCCTGCTTTGAAAACCAGTAGGGTTTGCTCTTAAAAGGGACTCTTGATTTCATAAGTTTTTCAGACTGGAAAGTAAGGATACTTGCCACAACTTTCTCTTCTTGTCAAAGAAGTTTGATGTTTTATGTATGTGTGCATTTTTTTCCTTTTAAAATGTAAAGTGCCTATTAAGAATGTTAGTTGTATCAGTTAACTCTGCTTTAATTATTATATGTATTTTAATTAAAAATATATTTTGTAGCTGAAGGTAATAGCACTTTTTTTCATTATAGTAAAACTTTTTTGGGGGGGGACTTATCTTTATTAAGTTTATTCCAGTGGACCATGTCCCGTTAAATATGTTGATAAATCAGGGCTTACAAGGCAATTACTAGGCTTAGTCTTCTGGGAATAGCATTCTAATAGGTTCTTTGTCCAAGTTCAGATTTCATACTAACCCATTCTTTCAGAATAAATGGTTCTTTATGTTATTTCATTTCCTGTTCTACATGTAACAGTATTAATAGCAAAAATAGTACCACAAATTTACTTACATTTAACCTAAATTATACATTTGTTTAATTGACGAGATACAGAGAAAATGAAATTGTCATCTCATTCTAGAGGGTAATAATACAGAGGGCAAATTCTAAGGAACTGACAGCATTTCTATATATTTTTAAAGTCATGCTTATTTTCTTCTAGAGGCTCAGTTGTCACCTTAGTTCTGTACATGACCTCATTTCTCTACACACAGTATTTTCTCAGATGTTGAGTGATTTAAAATTTATATAATGTGTTTTATTTGTGTATGTGACTTTCTGTGATGATAGACTTATTCACATGTCATCTAAATCCAGGTACTGTTTCGTTTAACTGAGAACGGAATGATTTTATATGTGTGATTGAAATCACAATGTATACTTAAATAAGCCAGTCCAGCCTTGTTCTGAAGAATAACAATGTATAAAGGTTGTTTCTTTGTCTTACCTCATCGCTTGATCTGTTTTATTCTTCTGGAAATGTGAACTATGAATTCTTGATTTTCTATGGAAAAATTAGATAGGTTGGTTTAAATAGCATGGTTTTTAAGCCTATAGTAGAAGAATTCTTTGTATAGTACACTTTTGTATATTAATGTTTTAATGAGAAACAATTACTAATTGTATTTTTTTAGAAATTCTCATTACTTATTTTACCCAAACAAAATTGTTTTTTTTGCTTTGTTTTGTTTTCAAATAATAATAGATTGACCCTTTTTGAAGTTAGAAGAACTTTGAGGATCATTTTTCTTATTTAATGTGCTAAAAGTTAATGTGATAGATGCACAAAATCTTTAACTACTATTAATTGGCTAAAATGGTGTTTTTAGAGATATGAGTTATACAAGAATGAAATCAGTAATTTTATTTATGTACCTGAATCTCTCTCTCACCATAATGGTAGTTTTAAAAAGAAGATAAAGGTAGAACTAATGCCACTTTAATTTAAAGCCTGAAGTTGTAAGTGTAAAGATATTTCGACCCAGTAAATGTTAAATAGGTGATGTATATGAGAGTATAGCTTAATATTTATTTTCTTATAAGTAAACTGCCTTGTTGTTTAAGCAGAACTTTAATATTTTAACTGTAAGATGAGAAAAAACAAACTTTAAAATGTCATTTTGAAAATTATAAAAGTAAATACTGACCTTTTCTAAGAAAGTCTCTTCCTTTTGACATTGTTTAATTTTTTTTCTTTTTTGTTTTTTAGGTTTGCAATTTTTTTTGGTGATGGCATGTTCAGAATCTTGGATCCCTAAGTTGAATATGTTGGAAATATTTTAGGAACCCTGGATATTGTTGTTTTTGTATATATAATGACTTAATAGGTGAATCAGTAGATTTAATAAAGAGTATATAAAAGAATAGGATTATAGTCTGCATTTCTAAGTTGGCATGCATGTCTCAAATTCTCCGCTATCAGTATTAGTGTCATACTCCAGAGACAGTTATCTTTTAAAGATTGGGGTGGGGGAGCTATTTTCCCAAGCAGTTGATATAATCCTCCTATGCCAATTTGTTCAGTTTCTTTTTCTTTCTGTCTACTTTGCAGTATACCTTACTTAGATCAGAGGTAATCATTGATCAGGAAGAGAAAAAAAATCCTAAGTGTGGTAATTATAAAATTTTAACCTAGAAATGGTCTCAGAATGGTCTATGTTAGAATATGCAAATTCTGCCCAAGTTATATCCAAGTGTACTTGTGGCAAAATGCTGCCAATTTTTGAATTAGATGTTACATGTAGCACAGAAGTGCTAATGGGGAGGAAGAAAGAGCTGTTCATTTTCACCTCCCTTCTCTCTCCTTATTGTTTGGTGAATGAATTGGTGGAAAATAAAATGGCCAAAGGGTAGATATTGTGAATGAAAAGAATAGGAGCAACATTTTAATCTCCAAGGATTATTTCCCCTTAAAAAATTGAAAGTTGGCTGTATTTTGAACCCGAAACACTAATGTGAAAGAATATATGCACCCCTATGTTCATTGCGTCATTACTTACAATAGCCAAGATTTGGAAGCAGCCCAAGTGCCCATCAGTAGATGAGTGAATAAAAAAGCTGTGGTACATTTACACAGTGGAATACTACTTAGCTGTAAAAAAGTAGATCTTAGCTTTTATAACACCATGGATGGACCTGGAGAGTATTATGCTAAGTGAAATAAGTCACTCCGAAAAAGGCAAATATATGATTTCACTTATATGTGGAATCTAATGAACGAAATAAGGTAATAAACAAAATAGAAATAGACTCACAGATACACAGAACAGACTGACAGAAGGGAGGGAGCTTCGGGGGCGGGGTGAAAAAGGTGAAGGGATTAAGTAAAAAAAAACAACTCATAGACACAGACAGCAGTTTGGTGATTACCAAAGGGGGGCGGGGGAGGTAGAAGAGGGTAAAGGTGGGATAAAAGGTGATGGAAGGAGACTTGACTTTGGGTGATGAACACACAGTATACAGATGATGTATTACAGAATTGCACACGTAAAACCTATGTAATTTTATTAACCATTGTCACCCCAGTATATTCAATAAAAATTTAAAAAATAAAGACTCCAACATCGAAACCCTGCAGATGTCAGACTCAATACTACAATGTCAACTCTTCCCTGAATTTCCACCCAGCCAACCTACTCTATGTTTCGGACTTGCCAGCTCCCACAATTGTATGGCATAAACCTGTTCCTTAAAGTCAATCTCTATGTATCTATATCTGTATGTATATGCATCTTTATATATACATACATATATACTCACATGTACATTTATCTATATATATGTATATACACATGTCTGTCTGTAGACTGAATATTTGTGTCCCTCCTCTCCCAAATATTCATAAATTGAAAACCTAATCCCAAATATGATGGTACTTGGAGGTAGTATCTTTGGAAGTTGATTAAGTCTTGAGAGTTGAACCCTCATGAATGGGATTAGTGCCCTTATAAAAGAGACCCCGGAAAGCTCTCTTGCCACCTCCTGCCATGTGAGATCACAGGGAGAAGACAGCTGTCTACGCGGAAGTGGGTTCTCACCAGAAACCACATCTGCTAGTGCCTTGGTCTTGGACATCCTAGTCTCCAGAATTGTGAAAAACAAACGTTTGTTGTTCGTAAGCCAAAAAAAAAGAAAAAAAAACAAAACCCCAAAGTTGTCTATATTTCATACACCTCAACACACTGTCTTAAAACTGTAGGCTACTATCATGTAGACCCAGAATGTGAAAACTTGGTCATTCTTGGAATGGATGGAGAGCTGACCTGATAGGGGAGTCAGACAGCCCTTGGGTGACCGGAGTACCATTATCTGTGGTTGTCTTTTTCTCTGACCTATTCCTGCCAGAATTAAGAGATCTGAGAAACATTTTGGGCAGCTGGTTATGTGGATGGTCAAATGTGACTGGACTGCCTCCTTACTCTTTTTTTTTTAATTTAATTTTTTGATTACAGTTTGCATTCCCTTTTTTTTATATTAGTTTCAGGTGTCCAGCACAGCAGATAGATATTCATGTAGGTCACAAAGTGTTCCCTCCAGTAGTTCAGGTGCCCACCTGGCAGCTGCCCCTCTATTCTTTTGATCAGAACTGGGGAAAGATTGATTTTTAAGACCATAATCAGAGCAAGTGAAAAAGGATCAGAGGGAAAGGATGAAAAGAATTCAAGGAACTGTCGAGACTGAGGGGTAAAATGGTAATGTATTCATTTATTGCAAGTTTTTTTATTGGTAGATTATCCAGTAATACAGAAATGGGTGTATAACACGTTTTTTACAACATTTCTAAGTAAGCTATGCCATAACTCCCCCACACCTCCTTTTGCTTTTTTGCTTTTAAGGAGAATTGGCTGATATTTAATAGATGGCACTATGAAAACATTAGATTTTTAAAAATCTAAATGTGTATTGCCTATTTAACTGCTTTCCCATTACAACTGGCTTTTAAAAAACTCTCCTATGATACTTTTATCAATAGAAGTGTTTCCTCTTAGCCAATTCTAGCCACAGTATTGACTGGGTCTCTGCATTTGATATGCCCAGAAGGAATTAGACAGGCAGGAAAAAACTTGGTCCCCACTGGAATGAATATTTTAAAGACCTTCTTAGATTCTGAACATTCAGTACAAATGAAATAGACCCAAGAGAGGGAAAAACTTAAGAGCCTAAGAATAAAAAATCATCGGGGGGTGGGGAACGCATACATAAGTAACCTAAGGGAAGGGAGTAATTTCCTGGAATTACGAGGTAGTGCGTGGAATCCCTCGGACAGTAGGCACTGTGATCTCAATTTGGGTAGTTCACACCCTGATCTTGAGAAATAATAATGCGTTTCCTAACAATGAGTTTGATTTTTATTCTGGTATGTTTTAAATGGGTATATGGCTCAAAGATGAACTTAATTCAAAATAAATATCTTTTAGATATCAGAGAAAAATTATAGAAATGGGTCTTTTGTCCCTATCATATAACTTTAGAAAATAATGTAGAATGCTGAACATAGTGGAGAATTGATGACATGAATACAATCAATGTTTGATGGTTGCTTTCCATAAACTTTTGAGTAAAACCTTAAATGTATTTAATGTTGGCCTCAGTTGTACTGTAACAACATTTTAGTGTGTGTCTCATAGGAAAATCTATACCTTCCTGGGTCACTGCATTTCTTAGTCTGGCTCTTCACTGTGAGAATTCAGAAATCTGATTGTCCAAGGATGAACGGATCTTTGTAAGTTTGGATACAATAAGTACATAGGAACACAGAAAAAGTGAGCCTAGGACAGTGGTTCTTTGTATTTTGGAAGTTTTAGACCCTCTTCTGAATATCCGAACAAAGCTATGGATCCTTTCTACAACAAAACTAATTTCTGAGGGTAGAGGGACAGCCCTTGGTTGTCAGGTTGTCATTTATATCAGGAGGCCCTGATCTGAAAGATCAGCTTCATTTTACTTCTCACCTTGCTCTGACTTAGTCACTCTTTAGTGCTTCTCTAAGGCCTTTGAATGGTCTCAAATCTTGAAGGTTACTTCCTGCCTTACACACTGAACCTAAGCCACAAGTTCAGAGCTTTGTAATGTTATGGAGCAGAAATTCTCTGCAAAGGGCTGTCCCAAAGTACCAGTGGTGAAAATAGAGCCCAAGACATAAAGGTGTGGCACAGCTCTCCTTGATAGAGGCTGCCTCCCGCTGGATTAGTTGAATATTAATGTTTTATTTTTATAAATGAACATCTTCTAAAATGCCTAATTATTATAAGGGTGTTTTTTTTAAATCTAAGTGTGACGTTCTCTTATGTCAGGGTATCAAATTCACGATGTAAAATGTGTACTTCAGCATATGATTGGAAGTTTGTGATTCTGTTATTTTGTGACTGAAATTTGTAGCATGTTTTCAGGAAAATTGTTGAGATTCCCAGGTAATTCTTTATTCCTTTCAAGTTTCCAGAATGTATGATTACTTCTGAACTTTATTAGTTCATTTATAAGTTTAGAGAAAACTGTCTTTAGTTCATATTTGGACACCAAATGGATGCATTTGATTTATTTTATTAGAAATGTGTTTCAACAAAATAATTCCATAGGAGCGGCTCTCATCTCCAGTTTGGAATCTCAGCTCACCTCCTTGTTATGTCATTCATTCACTGGGATGTTTCTGCAAAACAGCTTCACTGAGAAGGTCGTCCTTGAAAAATCAAGAAGTCTGGAGACGCATGAGGACTGATCAGAGAGATGGAAGAGCGTCATCGGATTGACAACACAGCACACTGTTTATACATCTGAGACCGCGTGGCTTCTGTATGCGAAGTGTAATTTGACTGTCTTCTCTGAATTGGACCTGGAGACACACAAAATGATCTCATAAGTTGTATCTTTAACATAAGAAAAACACAACTCTGGCCTCTAAACCATTTCTGTCAGTACAGTGTACTGATTGCTGATGCTGGTGGAGCGGAGCCTGGCTCATTCATCTTGCCTGAAAGTTAGAATCGTGTATTCTGGATGTGAGGGTATTTTTGTATTTCCTTTTGAAATATAGTGTTTTGGGCTTTTACAACATGTGCCTCACAATTCCACGTCCCCTGGGAAAGGAGCCGAGCGTCCAGGCCCCGATGCTTGTTTTCTGTCCTTTTCTGTGCTGTCGACTTAAATGTGGGGAGACCATGGAGTGCACAGGATTCCCAACCTGGTCAGAATCCTGTTAGGTCTATCCTGTTTAGCCTCCCCGCATAATTTTTTAAAAATATTTTTTTTATTGATTTTTAGAGAGAGAGAGAGAAACATAGATGTGAGAGTGAAACACTGATCGGCTGCCTCCTGCAGGCCCCTACTGGGGATCAAGCCCACAACCTGGGCATGTGCCCTGACTGGGA